GACTTACCCTCCCCGCCAACATCCCCCATATTCTGCTCAGAAGACACAGTACACCAAGACAAATCTCTGTCCCCAAGGAACCTACAGGCTCTGAGGGAGACAGGCAACTGCACAAGCAATTTCTACACCCTGTGATAAGGGCCAGGAGGTGCGAAGGGAGGCCCGAGGACCAACACCCAGCCCCAGTCTGGGGGGATTCAGGGAGGCGTCATGTTGGAGATGACATCTGACCAGAACCTTGAGGGTGCCTGGCTCTGCAATCAGCCGGTACTTCCACCTTCTGATCCCCCTTCACTGTCTTCCCCCGCAGCCTGTCTCCTCAGCTGCAGCATGAATTCCTCTCAAGCACAGAACTGCTGCCTTCATCCCTGCATTCCCTGAAGCACCTAGCCCTGCAGCTACGTCCCGCTTTCCAAATGCCAGTATGATGCTCTCATCACTGAACTGAGCCTGGCCAGGAAAACCTCTGCAGGCACCAGGCATACTTCCAGGACCTCAGCCTGACTACCAGCATGTGCAGGAAGCCATGGGGCCCTGTCCAAGGAAGCAGGCTCTGTGCAGCGACAACTGGAAAAGCCAGTGTCTACACACTCTCCCAAGTCACCATGCCAGGGGTAGGTCCAACAATCTGAGACTAATCACAAAGTAGGTCATTTCCACCTGGAATCCCACCAGCACCTTGTTCAGCACCTTCCTTCCCCAACCAGTGTCTCCACCCTGTGTGTGGCAGGCACCTCAGTGATACAGGTGCCCGGCTGCACCCTCCTGCCCACTATCACCACCACCATTCGAATTCAGGCCTGCATCATCCCCACCATCATCTTCTGGCTCCCACTCTCCCTGTTCCCAGTTGGCGACTCCAGCTATTGTGGTTTATTGTTCTGCAATTTAAATCTCTAGCCTGGAGTTCAAGCTAGGCCTTCCCCCCACCCAAGCCTTTTTCCAGTTGCACTTACTGTTTCCCCAAATGTGTCCTGACGTTTGCCCCTCTGTAGTTCTGTTCCTCCTACCCCCTGACTGCCCTCCTCTCTCTACGTGTTCCCCGTGCCACATCAATGCCCATCAGAGGGGACAGCACCCAACCTTCAAGGCTCACTTCAAACCCTGTGTCTCCCACAAGTTATTCCTAAGGGTCCTAGCCAATAGCGAGCCTACTGTTCTGAATCCTACCGGGTTACGGTCTACACTTGTGCAACACTGGCCATACACAGGACCTCCCATCAGAGCTACTCAGGAACGCTGCTCCTGTTCCTGCCTAGATTCCGGTTATATTCCGAAGCAGCTACAGTCCTCGTTGTTGCTCTACCCAAAGAAAGGCAGAGAGGGGTGGTGGCAAGAGTGAGGCTTCGAGACTAGGCTTAGTGTGGGTTCTGACAGGGCCATAATATGCTCTTAGGTAAATTATTTATTTAATCCTGCCCCTTATTCTACTGGGGCCACGCTGAAAGAAGCACCCACCACAGCGGAGCTACTCGCTCCGCAGCCACCAGAGGGCCCCACAGCACTAGCTGGGAAGCAAGGACACACCCTCTCCCCGCGCAAATCCCCGAGGGCGTCCCACTGCAGCTTCCCCTTGCTTCCCCGGAAACCCCAGAGCTAGCTGCTGGCTGACGCTGACATCAGTTCTGACCAAGCATCCAGCTTTTCTTTTTCTTTTTTTTAAGATTTATTTATTTATTTGAGAGAGAGGGCGCGTGCGCTCGCGCAGGGAGGGGCAGGAAGAGGGAGAGAGAAATTTTAGCAGATTCCTCGCTGAGCTCTGAGCCGGAGGCAGGACTCTATCTCACAACCGCGAGATCACCACGACCCCCGAGATCACCACGACCCCCGAGATCACCACGACCCCCGAGATCACGACCTAAGCCAGCCGAAACCAAGAGCCGGACTTTCAGACGACTGTGCCACCCAGGGGCCCCCAAAGCCGCCAGCTTTCCACAAAGGGTTTGACTCACCAGGGCCCCATAGGTCTGAGCCCTCCCCAGCCACATTCCAGTATCACCAATGAACACACAGCCTCTGTGGCCTAAACAACTTTTTTTCATACAGGCCCAGAATTTCTGCCTGGAGCACCACTTGCTCTCAAGTGTTAATAAGGGAAAAAGGCCTGCATATGAGACTGGCCAATTATAGCCCATGAGAAGTAGCTCTCCCCCTGCAGAGTTTGCATCCAGCACCAAGCATTCTTGGGGTTCAGACAAGCTGGTGTTCTATTACTTAACTCAGGGTCTTTTTTTCTTCCTCCTTGCAAGAGACCAGGTAAATCAGGGTCTCTTGTGACGAGAAAAATGGAAAAGGAAAGCTAAAATTCCCAGATTTTTCTTTGTCGTCCACCCCAACCCATAACACAAGTGGATTCACAAGCTTTTTTTTTTTTTTAGATTTTTTTTTATTTATTTGAGAGAGAGAGAGAGAAAGGGGGGAGGGGCAGAAGGAGAGAGAGAGAGAATCTTAAGCAGACTCTGCGCTGAGCCCAGAGCCTGACTTGGGGCTCGATCTCACGATCTCACGATCATGAGCCTGAGATCACCTGAGCCAAAACCAAGACTCAGATGCCTAACCGACTGTGCCACCCAGGTGCCCGATTCACAAACTTATAACAGATTTTCATTTAGGTTTTGATTGTCTCTTTCGGAGTGTTTACTAAGAGGCTGTAATATCCAGGGGAAAAAAATTTTTTTAAGATTTTATTTATCTTTTTGACAGAGACAGACACAGCGAGAGAGGGAACACAAGCAGGGGGAGTGAGAGAGGGAGAAGCAGGCTTCCCGTGGAGAAGGGAGCCCGATGCGGGGCTCGATCCCAGGACCCCGGGATCATGACCTGAGCCGAAGGCAGACGCTTAACGACTGAGCCACCAGGTGCCCTTCCAGGAAAATATTTTTAAATAATTATAAGACCTGGAGCACCTGGGTAGCTCAGTGGATTAAGCATCTGCCTTCGGCTCAGGTCATGATCTCAGGGTCCTGGGATCGAGCCCCGTGTCCAGCTCTCTGCTCAACAGGGAGTCTCCTTCTCCCTCTCCCTCTGTGCTTGCTCGCTCTCTCAAATAAATAAAATCTTTAAAAAAATAATAATTATAAGACCTTGAGGGGTTGGTTCCTACCATCAGGATGGCTGCACATAAATCACCTCATATAATTCCCATAATAATTACTCCCTAGGACAGGCATTTAAGGAATTTCATAGACGAGGAACAGAGGGCATAAAGACATGCCTGCCCACGGCACAAAGCAACCCTGCAGCAGAGCCAGGATTCCATACAGGCCCGTCCGGCTCCAAGCCATCCTCCGTTTAGTAATAATTATGATTAACATGAGTGTGGCGCTTCCCATGTGCCAGGCACTCAGCTAAGCATTTATATGCATTTTCTCATTTATATTTGCAACATCCCTGTGAGGCAGGTACTAAGATCAAGTCCCTTTTCCAAATGAGAAAACTAAAATTTGGAAAGCTTAGGTGGCTAATGAGAGGCACAGAAAATAGGATTGACCTCAAGTCTGTGCTCTTAACCACCATGTTAAGACCTAGCAAATTGTGCCTTCTACGTCATGTCCTGTCACCCTCCCCTCTGCTCCCCACCATGCTGCAGGCTCACTTTCCCTGCCCACCTCCCAGTCTCTGCACTTGCTTTTCCCTCCACAGGGTAAGCTTCCTCCTAGCCCCTGCTCTGTGTGCAACCCTGGTTCCTCGTCTTCCTCTAAGTCTTCAGTGTACTCTTCCATGACTTTTTTTTCAAGATTTTATTTATTTATTTATTTGTTAGAGAGAGAGAGCACAAGCAGGGGGAGCGGCAGGCAGAGGGAGAAGCAGGCTCCCCACCGAGCAGGGAGCCTGATGAGGGGCTCCATCCCAGGGTCCTGGCATCATGACCTGAGCTGAAGGCAAACGCTTAACCCACTGAGCCACCCAGGCATCCCTCTTCCCTGACTTTTTACCTAAAACATGTCCTCTTCAATTTTTCTCTCATTCGGACTCTTGCATTTCCCATCATGGCCCTCGTTACAACCTACCACAATTTTTAGATTAGTTTAGCTTTCTCCTTTACTTGCATTTTGTTTGTCTTTCCCAGTAGAATGTAAGGCCTTGGAAATTTGTCTATCTTGGTCATTGACATAGCCACAGTACCCAGACCATACCAGGTATTGGAAGGTGCTCAGTTAAAAAAAAAGAAGAAGGCGCTCCGTGAATATCTGATAGATTATAATCATTAGAATTTGCAGCTCACCTACAGAAGAAGCAGGTAGTTTCCAACCCCCAACTAAGAGTTCTGTGTTTAAAAGGAAGGAAGGGAGGGAGGAAGATAGGCAAGCTACAGTCCTTCAGCTTTTGCTGCCCCACGAGATAAGTTAGCACAGCAAACATGGCCTCTATGGAACCCTCCGGTGCCCTGGAGGGAAGACTGCTCAAAGGCGTTTGCCCACGAATCACACACTACAGACCTTGACCCCTGCTTGGCCTCCCTAGAGCTTCTGCTTCACAGAGGGAGGGACCACACAGAAGCTGGCTGCTGTGCAGAACCTGCTGCCTGCTGGGCAGAGCTGGTGCCTTCATGGTCACTCACTGCTTCATTTTTTTCTGTCACCCCAGAAGATCGGTGTCTCTCCCTATTTTACCCAGAGGGAGACTCAAGTTCACAGTGGTGTGATGACCGGCCCGGAGCCTGGCAGCTGGTAAGGGGGGTAGCCATTCACACTCCTTTAACATTCTTCAGTGACTCCCTGTTACCTTCAAAAACAAGCTCGAAGCTCCTTAGAAGAGTATCTCAGGTGCCCCAGGAAAGGCACCTCCTCTCAGGACTGGGGCAATTCCTGGGATAGAAGCACTACTCCACAATTCCATGCTCTGGCACGTGCTTTTCCCCCGTCTGCCCCCACACAATCGAAGCCCGACTTGTCTATCCCAAGAAAATAAACAGGTGGGCAAAGATGTTTATTCAAAGGTAGTCCTATTGTATATCATTATATATGGCAGTAAAAAGAAAAACAACTGGTAACAACCTAAATGTTCAAAAACTACGGAAAAGGTTTAATAAATTACATTTCCCTGTTGAGGGTGTCCACACTTGGGGGTTTGTTGTTTTGTTTTGTTTTCTGGATTGCCAGCAACTCGTCTTGGCCAGGCAGCCATACATCTGTGGTTTTGGAGGACCGCGGTGACTCCTCAGGGCTCCTTCACTGACAGATGAAGTGTTCTTTTGCTACAACTATGATTCACACCAGTAACAGTTTCTGGGCAAACAGAATGTGGAGCTAGGCTGCATGCAGTTTCCCTGTGCTACAGGCACAACTTGATACACACGAAGAGACAAAAAGGTGTAGTATCTACCAGACCTGGGTGAACTGTGCCTCGTGAGGCTCCAACAGAGTCTCGGGACGGAAGCTGGTTCACTCGAACATGCCACAGTGCTGTAACTCTTATGTGCGCCACTTAATCTTTCTGAGTGTGCTGCCAAAATTTCTAGCACTCAAAAGAATGCCATTCTATCTGTTAGGGTTATGCTGTAACAAGTAAACCCCCAAATTCCACAGTTTTCTTTTTCACCCACATAACTGTTCCAGCGAAGCTGTGCCTAGTTAGCAGGTGGTTTTCCTCCACTCAGTGATTCAGTAACCCGGCCTCCTTCAGCTGTGATTCTTCCAACCCTAAAGCCTCAGCGTCTAGCAGAGGGAAAGAAAAAATGTGGTAAAGTCACCTCTTAACCAATTTGGTCTGCAAGTGACACATCTTCCAGTTCCATTCAGCGGGTGCCTGGTCAGAGTCCCACCTAAATGCAAGAGGTGCTGGGATCCTAATTCCCGGCCGAGTACTCCTGTCCACTCTGACGGGAAGAGCACACAATTCTGGTGAACAGGCCGCCCTCTGGGCTGCAGCTACAAACCCCAAAAAGTTAAGAACCACCGGGTAATGGGTTTTGTGTCTACCCTGAGAAGAGGGACAACTCCCACTGCTGCCTCAGTAGTGGAACAATGTCCCCTGCTCCTAGCATTTAGTGTACTAGAACATACCATAGACCTGGTGGAGAGCTTCAACATTGCCTTCTCTTCGCTCCAGGGACCACACTGAGTCAGGCCTCTGTTCCCATTCCTTGGATGGCTGTTAATCTAAAAAATAAAACTACCAGTTATTTTACCAGCAAATATGGGCTTATTTGGGAATAGCAGAGAATTACAAACTGGGACAAGCAAACGTAGGCAAGTCAGGAGAACAAAGGAGGACTGCTCTTTTATAGAGGAAATTGGAAGTTCACAGGCACTATTATAAACATCAAGTCCATTCAAGTAAACTGGGAATGTGAAGCGTAGTGGCTTTTCATTGGCTGAGTTGTGACAGTCTCTCATTGGCTGGACTGTGCTAGAAAGCCTTCCTCCCTCCCGCCTGGATAGTAAAGTAGTATCCACCTGCAAGGTCCCTCTCTTCCTTTTGGGTCTGCAATTGATGAGCGCTAGGGCATGAGAGCTCCCCCTGCTGGCTTCCTGACTCCACTTTAAACAAGATTTTCTTTTATTGATTTTTCACAGAGCCATCTGTTTCTTTCTGCACAGCTCCCCTTCCCCCTGCTACTCTACCATCCTTGCTGGGCAGCTCTGGCTCAGGCACTGCTGCCTGATCTGATTGGTTGTCACTAGGTAAACAGAGTTGGCTCCACTGTATGCATGTGGTTTACAAGGCATGACTACTTTCTCAAGAAAGAATGGCCTAGGGGGGCCTGGGTGGTTCAGTCGTTAAGCGTCTGCCTTCAGCTCAGGTCATGATTCCAAGGTCCTGGGATCGAGCCCCGCATTGGGCTCCCTGCTCAGCCGGGAGCCTGCTTCTCCCTTTCCCTCTGCCTGCTACTCCCCCTGCTTATGTCCTCTCTCTCTCTCTCTGTCCGATAAATAAACAAAATCTTTAAAAAGAAAAAGAAAGAACGAACTGCCTGGTACAACCTCTTCTAGAGGAGATTATAATAAGCATGGTAGATAATGGGACTTTATGGACCTACCAGTACGAAATTGTAGAAAGCTGCACAAAGGCAGAGATAGCAGCCATCCTACTGACCATTTTCACCACTGCGTCCTCAGCACTTAACAGGGTTTCAGAAACCCAGTTCCCTCTGTCTTTGGAGCCACAGCTACTAGGACCTGGGGGGTCTCAGAGTCTGGCACCAGCAACCAGAAGAGAGCAGAGAAGCTACAGTGTAGTTGAATAGGGAAAAAAAAAGAATGAGTGAATGAATGAGCATGTTCTTGACAATATTTAATGACAGAAAATAGTAAAAAGAAAAAAGAGAGAAAAAGAATGAAAGAAAGAAAGAAAAGATAAAACATAAAGTATTATGGGACAAAAATAGAACACATAATTCTATAATCAGTGTGATCACAATTTGGAAATCTCACATCAAAAGCAAAAAAAAAAAATTATATTTTTGACAATCTTCAGCACTTCCTACCCCTTCACTAAGTAACTACCACCCAACCCACCGATGGATTTACTAGCAGTTGTCACAATGGCTACTGTTTGCCAGTTCCGGCTGATGTCTGACAACTCTTCAGGGAAATGTGGATGTGCTCTCTTGGGGTAGAGAAGGCTTCTGAGTTCTTTCTTCCTATTGCATTGCATCTGGAGCTTTTTCTTTGCTGCCCACCTTTTTGGTGAGCAAGTTTTATGTTCGGGGAGAGGTGGGAGAGACAGCTTGGATCCAGATCCATTGCCTCAACTCATTTTTTCTGAATTTGCTTTAGGGACCAAATTTGAGAATGCCCTCTGGGTTCAATTTTTTAAAATCCCCCTCTGTCCCCCCAAATCCCCAAATTACAAATACGTGCGTGCGTGTAAGCATGTGTGCATACACACACACACACACACACATATAATAGATGTATAAAAAGACTAGAAAACACAGAAATGTTTATCTTTGGTTCATAGGTTTACAAATAATTGTATTTTCTTTTCCATACATTGGTATATTTTCCAAACCTATAATAAGAATACAACCTGTTTTATAATCAGATTTAAAAGTCACAATAAGTGTCATTGTTACTTTTAAAACGTCGACCAAACGTTGCCTCCTCCAGGAATTGTTCTGTGACCACTCGGAGTCAACATTCTCCAAGCATCCCCTAGTGTCCTCTACCATTCACTGGGGGCACCGGATTTTAATTGTTTGCTTATCTATCTTTCAACTAGATTGGAAGCTCTTTGAGGGAAGAAACTGAATGCCCAGGGCCTGCCACATATACTGAGCATTCGTAAAGGTTTGTGGATCAAATGAGGAAATCAAGTAAGTAAGAGTATACAAACTCAGGTATTCTCATTCTAAAACCAGTTGCATCTTCCCTGGGACTAACGGGATCCAGGATTTTCTCCACTCTTGACTATAACCTGGGGCCTGGGAAAAACTTGGGAAGCATATGGCAAGATTTTTAAGAACTCCCCCCTAAACAGTCACCACCAGGGTTGCAGGAACCCAGCGTGAGTGAGAATTGAAATCCAAATTGGGTTTTCCTAGCAAGAGCCAAGATTAGTTACATGGTAGCACCTGGAGGATTCCCCGACTCTGCTCATTCCTTTAGGATCACTCACTCCACTCCTCCCAGGACCTCCCCTGGGAACAAAGGAAAACCCAGGACTTAGGACTGGGCCCTTTTCCACCAACAGCTGCTAGTAGTTTGCATTTAACCCTAAACAGCAGTTAAAATAAATGGGGGGAGGAGGGAAACACTGTGCATCCACTAGAAACACTTAGGTTTTCTCTAAATTTCTTCCAGAAATTTCTCCTACAGGGCTTCGAGAACCAAACAGGCCAATTACAGGAAAAAGGAGGCTTAGGAACTTTGGTCTTGACTGTGGTCAACCACAACTGAAGCTGCACTGTCCACCACGTGGAGCCATACACACTGAGGGGTCAATCCCTTGTTCAACAAAGGGTTCATGTGGGAGCCGACTAGCCAACAGCACCCTTCATCCCCCCCCATCCCCCGCGGGGCAAGCACAGGCAGGGCTTCTCCCCTAGACCTAGGCGGATGGGCACAGGCCACGAAGACCCTCCGGACTCACGTCCTGCGCCTAATCTGAGAATACACCTTGGCGGTCGTTAGGATTCCACGTGCCCTCCCTCCCTGCGGTACCGTCTAGTCCTAGCCCCGTAGGTTACCGAAGAGCCGCCTACATCTGGTTCTGGGCCAGCGCGCCCCACCGGCAGAACCGCTGGATTCTTTGATTTCCTCGCGCGCTCACTCTCTAAACCAAACCCGAGAGGAAGGGCACGGCCCAGGGTGGGGATGTCCTGAAATATCCGAGAGCTCTCGAGTAGGAAATGATGTTCACAAGAATGCTCTCGGGCGAGGTAAGAGCGGGTGGAGGTCCGCGCGCTGCGGCACCGCCGGGAGGGTGTGTGCCTGCGCGGGGCGTGGGGGGGGACAGGAAGAGGAGGGCGGGGGAAGGGGTGGGGTGAGCGCGGCCCGGACACTGGCCCAGGCTCCTCCTGCCTCCCCCTCCCCCCCACTCCCCCACCCTCGCCCCGTACTAAGGCTCCCAGCCCTCTGCGCTCCGCTCACTGGCCGTGCGTCCCAGCCAGCCAATCGTCCCTGCTGCGCCTCAGGTCAAGGTGAGTTCCGCCCGCCGCTCCCCGGCCGCTCCCCAGCCCCGACCCGGCGCCCGGGGAAGCCCCCCATCGGCTGCCCGGGCTTCGCGCGGTTGTTCCGGGCGCCGGGGGCTGCTGGGTGTCCACTTCTCAGCGCCCTGGGCCACACCCGGGCGAGGCGGGCAGCGCCCCTGCCCTTGATCCTCGCGGACTGGAGGAGGGGCGCTCGTCCTTTATTCCAGGACCGCGGTGTCGGCGCCCCGGAGCCTCTGCTCTCTCCTCCCTTTCCGTTTCTCCTTACTCCCACTTTTCCTACTTTTCCACTAGTCCCCCGAGTTATCCGAAGCCCCGCTTCTCGCCCCTTCCTGGCTGGCCTGTTTCTCTGTGGGCTCCGGCTGTGAGCTGGAGGGCCCGAGCTGGAAGGGTTGGAGCTGGCGGACTCCCTTCCTCAAGGGCACTGCTCAGTCCCTCGCCCAGATGCTTCAGGTTGGGCTTCCTGTTGTTTGTGTGTAGGTGTGTTTGTTTTCTTTATAAAGCTTGGCTAGCCCGCGGTGGCGGAGAGGGGAATATAGGACGGGATTTCCCTCCCGAAAGGATTCCCTTCTTGCGATCTTCATTAAACAAGTGGAACTATAAAGAGGGGAAGAGCAGCCTTGACGAAAGACCTCCCAACCCAGATTAACCTGGCCCGGTGCAATGAGACAGAGATAGACTTGCCGTTGGTACCGGGTCACAACTTGAGCTTAGCCAAAGGAATGCGGCTTTCTCGAAGCCTGGACACTGCTTACTGTCCAGCTGGACTCCGGCTAATTGACTCCGCCAAGTTGGGTGCGTGGGGCTGGTGAGGAAAGCCGATTAAAGCCGAGCAGCTACAAGATAGGCAGAGCAGAGCCCTAGGCCAGACCCTGAGATACATCAAGCCCACCCCCCCTTCCCTCCCAAGGGGAGCTGGGAGCATCGTGCAGGGTCCGGCCAGCACAAAGGGCTCCCGGATTCTAGTGCAGGCCCGTGACTCAGCTGTGAGACCATGTGGGTGTGGCCCCAATGGTTCCAGATACTCTCTGCAGATGGTTCCGACAGAACACTCCCTGAAGGAGAAGGGGAACTGTGCCATCTCAGAGGGCATTTTCCAAGAGGAAGTGAGTCACCGGGACTGGCCAGCCATCTGAAGGAGAGGTTTCTTGACTGAACTGCGGGTGAGGGCAGCAACTGGATTGGTAGGGCCATGGTGAGACGCACCACTGTTGGGGGATTGAGCCGTGTGCCTGCTGGCAGGCTGCCACAGCTTTAGGCGTGAGGTAGCTTTTCCGGTTGATGTTTTTAGCAGTTGCTGCAGGTTTCCACCCCCACACCCCTGCAGCTTGAGTTTCCAAACTGCTGCAGTGGATCTTTATATCCTGCGCTTCAGGTGAGGCCAGGCTCATGGAAACACCCTGACAGTGATCTTTGCCTCCAGCATGCAAGCCAGTTGCAAAGGATAATACCAGAGGCTGGGGCAGAAATGAGTTCATATAACTCATGTGATATTTCTTCATCAGC